TGAAGTCCACTCATCTTAAAGTGGCCAAGTTTGGACAACACTGGTCTAGGAGTATAGTACCAATGGAGAAGCTTCATTTATTAAGGATTGTAAGGTGGGGACATGGCTAATGGGATGAGTTGACCACCCTATGCCCAACGTGAATATATGACCAGCATTCAGTTTTATTATTTAGAAGGTCATTACTAATTTTCCCTGGGTCTTTCCAATGTGTTTGCACTCCCTAGGATGTACCACTAGTTAATTGCTATGAATAATATGCCCTCCCCAGCATATTATTGCCAAGGCTTATGGGTAATAACTTCTTCTAAATAGGATTGTAGTAAAACAGGCATATATTCACACATGCTTCTAACTTTGGGACTATGTATGGGATACTTGCAGTCCTGCATACCTTGTCATTTGGTACATGGAGTTTTCCTGTACTCTGTTTCACACACTGAAGGTCAGGGCTAGTAAACTGAAATATATGATTGCTTTGTGTACCATATCTATCTTCCTGTTAAGCCAATAAAGGAACTTGCTATGACGATCTCAAGATATTTAACTTGTAAATGTAATGGAATAATTATGTGTTGTTTCCTACTTTTAGGACCTACTAGGCATTTTAAAAGTGAATATATGCCAAACCATATTGATATTCAATTTATTAATTATTAGAAATTGCAATTACCAGGTAGCTACTGTATTTTCTGTTCACTGATGCTAAATATTTTAAGTCTACTTTAACATGCCCATTTTAGGTTAAAATTGCCTTTTATTGCTAATATACTAATGAACTAAGCTATTTGTTATCTTTTGGGGGGCATTTTTTTTAAAAAATGGACATTTTCCTTTTCAGGATAATGAGAAGTTTCATAATGGTGCTGATCAACGCAAGTTGAAGTATGAGGTAAGTTATAGCTTGTCAGCTTGAAGAAGTGCTAATATTAAATTATGGCATGCTCTGTAATTAAATTTCTTAACATTTCACAGCATAATTATAATTCTGTATTCCAGCAAGATTAATGGCCAATGGGAAAAGCCTTAAAATTAAATCTTCTACTATGGTAAAGATTTGGGTAGTTGTGATTGTGGTAATAATATACTAATACTGATGCTGCAACAGTATCCCTTTCAGATGTTTTAAGAGAGGATCTAACTTTATGATTAGAGATAACTAATTACAAACTAGCAACACTGCACAGAAAATTACCAAAATTCCAATATAACCATGGACTGAGAGGGGTCATACCTCTAGTCAAGATTTTAGAATCTGAAAGCAAGATAAATGAAGGTTCCATTTTCAATATATTTACAACTTAATGCAGAAATATTATATGCAGTATTGTAGATGTTTTTCTGCTAGCAGCACAACTATTAAAGGAGGGGGATGGGATTTGCAATTTCCCACCTGCCTTTAAAATCTCTTCCAGAGTGTTAGGTTGTGTTCAAAGATGTATGGAGCTCAACATGCAGCAATGGGAAAAGAGGAAGAAAAAGTCCCATAGCGCAAGCAAAAGTATGTTCACAAAATGTTGGATATAATCCATCCTTACTTACAACTAAACATGATCGATTTCTTGCCAATGGATTTTAATTGCTGTATTCCAAATGAAAATACAGTAAATATTTACCAAAAATATTTTCCTAATTATTTTTAAAGATTTGGAATAATAAGAGGCAGTCCTGATTCATAAAATAATTTGGAGTTCTGTTGCTGATTTAAGGATATGGAGTGATTCTGCAGAAATTAAAAGAAATGGATACTGTTCTAAATGCAAGATGATGGAAAAGAAGAATCACAGCTTTTCTTTTTGAATCAGATCTTATTCAGCATAATTTGAATTTGATCCTATTCAGCATAATTTGATTTTTATGCTATTTAACACAAACATGCATAGACAAAATGCACATCTAGAAATTTAAATTTGAATAGTTTTCCTGTTAAATATACAAAAGCACTGTTTTTTTTTTTTTACATTTTAAGCAGAAAAGAGAGTCTTGGGTGTCCTTTCATGGTTTTCTGGCATTGTCTAATGATGACAGCAAATATAACCAGGCTGGTGAAGACACAAAGGGATCAAAAATCAATAGGCAGGACAAAGCCATAGAAACACTTAATCCTTTTCCAAGGAGGATTCAGGATTTTTGCATGACTCAAGGAAATACAAATGAAGGGAAAGAGATAGAACAAGAGTATGTCAGCTGGAGGTGCACTGATGGATGTGACTGGAATCAACCCAAAGACATAAAAAGCAAGAGAACTTGCTCTGACAGCCCCACATATTCTCTTCCTGACAGATGTGGAATGTTTGACTTGTCAGACAAAAAATCAATATTCCTTCATTCTAGAAACAAAAATCTAACTAATCATTGGGAAAATAAGAACATGGAAACAGAGTTTGATTTATTTAATTCCTACCACATGCCAGCTTCAGAGCCCATATCCTCTGCTCAAGTCCAGCCTGGTGCTTTCCATTTTTGGTCTCCCCAACAATACTATAACAGAATTTCTCAAATACATCAGCAGATTTCAAACCAGAAGTTGGATGAAAGGGCTGCAAATGACATCAAAAGACAACTACCTGAATCACTTACTGGATCAAAGCAGAATTATAGGCTGGGACATCTATTTAACTTATTCGGCAATGTTTACCATGGTTCCATTTGTCAAGAATTTAAGAATGGTTGGTTTTCTAAACGGATCAAAGATCTAGTCAGTGTCTGTCACAAAAATGAGAAATGCACACAATTGACATCATTTATCAGAAGCTTTCCAGTTATTAAAGATATACAACTAAATCTGAGTTTAGGTTTGAAGGTAAACAGTGCAAGCCTCAGCCCAGGAAGGCCTTTAGGAAAAGAAGCTACCATGAATTACTTATCGTCACAAATCTCAGTTGATATGCATACAATAAATCATGCTGTAGAATCTAGTAACCTTTGCAAAAATGATACGCTGATTCCTAGTCTGGTGCTTAGGCAAAATTTTGTGGACTTTTCAAAGGATCTTCTGAAATTACAAGAATATTCTTGGGATGAACTGCTACAATATGTGACCTCTATCTTGCCAGAAATTTGTGCCAAGACAAATGAATTAAAAGGAATATACTGGATTGCAGTGGGAAGCTATAAAAAACCTGGACCAGAACCTGCTTGCTTGCTTTTATATGATTCTGTTTTATATGCCATTATTCCATCAACCAATCAGTTAGAAAGCAGTCAGAACTCTCTGGATTTTTTTCATGTTTTCTCAATCAATACTTTAAAAGAAATCCAAATTGGTTATGCTGGACAAAGCATCACACTTTTGGGTCCCCATGTAGAAAATGTAATGAAACTATTTACCTTTAACAAATACTTTACACAAAGAATATGCCATGATATACTTAGCACTGTGATATCTCCATTAGATCATGCTTGCTTAAATCACCCACTCTTAAATGATGATCTGTTAAAACTTTCTCTTGACTGGAGTTCAGCAATCACTGACTTAGTTTTGGAAAATGATGTGCGCCTGTCGTGCAATTTTGAGAGTGATTTAGCTGACCTGCTTTATTTGCTCCATGAAAACATGGATATCAACAAACCTTTTTTAGGTGAAATTAAGGTAGTGCTCTATACAACAGTGAAACTAGCAGGTGACATCATATCCCTAGTCCTTACTAATACTCATATTGGTCTTATACAGGAAAATAGTGCCTTGTGCCCAGTATCTAGAGTGCTGCATTCCATAGACAATCAGTCACAGTGTGCCAAAATTCAGCTGTATTCTTTAAGTGAACTCAGATGTGTGATTGTCCCAGAGAAAGAGAATCTAAGAAAAATTGAGTTTGTATTTTCAAAAGCAAGTAAGATTGGTTCATCCAATAGTTTGCTGGATGTTTCTCAAGGAGAAAATAATACCCAGTTGGAATCTGTTTCATCCTTTTGTCATAACCAACAAAGCAGTCAGCCTTGCATCTGGAGACTGACTTTCAGTTCGGATGAAGATGCTGTTAGGCTAATGTTGCATTTGACAGGACAGTTAAGTTTGAATCCTCCTTAGAGTTCATGTACAAGTTAGTCTTCATGAGAAAAAATACATATAAAACAAATATATCTCTATTTTTGTCTCAGTGTCTCTTAGTGAAAAACTATGCCAGCATTTCAACTCAGAGTAGCTTTACAGTATCTTAAATGTTTCTGATCATTATTCCTAAATATTGGTTTCATGCATCAGTATTTGCTCGTTAGGTTAATTAAGAAACACATTCCTCTTCTATACCTTTTTGCTTGCTATATGACAAAATATTAACTAGAATCCTATGGCCAAAAAATATAGGAACTAAATCTGAATTCACTTCCTTATTGCATATATCTTAGACAATTTGCATTTAGAACACTTCCATTCAGACATGACTTTAGGGTTGAGTTATGATGACAGTCAGTTGTGGTACACGTCCATACATCTGTGATGAGGAGATCAGTTCTCAACTAGCAATAAATAAATGGGTTAGTGATAGATCCAGATGAATATTTGTTCTCTGTCCTTGGCCAAGAAACACTTAGCTTAAAGACAGCTGCTTGTCTTTGGATATTATCTACCATTTCTCCTTCTCACCACATTTATTATTCCTTCTCACCTCATTTATTTTCTTTCATTGATAAATTAATGTCTGTTCTGATTACTGGGATTCTTTTCCTATGTTATGTTGCCTGCTTTGCAAATTATTTGAAACTATCAATGTATAATTTACTTTTTCATGCATAAATGTTGAATTCTGAATATATGTTGAAAATTAAGATTACTTGATCCATTTTTCAACTGTTATGTGTGAATTACTGTGTATTACTTAGAAACTGCCTTAAGAATTATTTCACTGGACAGTAGAATATATTAACATTTAAAAAACAAACATGTAAAAGTGTGTAGGATAGGTGGGTCTTGACAGAAAAATATAGTTAGCTTTTAAGTCTACACACGCACACACACACACACATTCTTTCTCTAGACAGAAATTTGTATTATGAAATTTCTTTTTTAATATGCTACATTAAAAAACTCGCTATGATTACCTTATTAAATGTACTGTTAAGTAATCATGTTATAGTGTACATCAAAACTGTAATATCTGTAATAGCCTTAAAAATGAAATTATTAAGTTGAAGTTATGGTGGGAGTTTATTGTTGTAGTGTGATACAAAATTCTTGAGGGGGGAAATTTTTGGCTTTATTTAAATACAAAGAGGGAATATATAACAGGATGGAGGGGAGATAAAGCCAAGGACACTAAAGAGTGCCTATCTTTAGATATTGCTTCAAGAATACAACCTGACATTCTGCTGGCTTTCCGCTTTTTGTAACAATGCAACAAGCCTTTTTATATTACAACCTCTACCTCCAATTCTCAACTGTCTCTTAATGTTCCATCTTCATCAAGTAAAGAAATTAATGTACATGAACATTGATTCAGTTCTATTTGTTTTACATGTTAAAAAAAAAAAAGGAAAGAGGAAACAAAAACTCTTATAACTGGTCTGGTTAGACCTTACAATCTTACAACTTTGCCCACTGGAATATAATTTAAAAGAATAGGCTCATTTATGAAAACCAAAGAGTCTTCTAAAACAAAATGAATGCGTAAATAACATCTATCCAAAAAATGCTACTATAGCACAGGATCACTTCCCATGTTGCATTTTGAGTATAGTGTTTCAAATCAGTGCCTTTGTGAAAAGTCCCCTAAGTATGATTTTTTGTTGTTGTTGAATTAATTTTAAATTTCTACAATTAATTTTAAATTTATACAAATTTGATATCAGATGCCAAAATAGCTTTCTACTGATTGTCATGTATTGGATACTCCAGATCATTATTCCATGCTTCTCTAAATTTCTGAACATCTAATTTAATATATTTTAAGAACT